AAGTCATAAATTCTGTCCATCAAGAATCATAACTTAGTTGAATGACAAGAATTAAACCAACAGTTAGTGAACAAGCCATTATCTAATAAAATGTTAGTGCCAGGTAGTACAGAAGCAGGCTTTAATTTTGTAACAGTTTAGGGATGGAGAAAAATAGTGTGGGCTAAAACTGTCAGAGGCAGCTTTGTTGAGGAAGATGGAGTAATATTACTATGCTAGCCAGTCACCCATAATTGAAATCAATCCTGGATAAAGATTTAGATTTTCCAGTTAAAAGAAATAGTTAATGAGTAGTTACTATAAATTCACTTACCAAGCAGATTTTGTAAATGGGCAACCACTTTTAAGTGAATGAGAAAATAACAGGAAATGATTATAAATTAATACTACATGGAAATGCTTTGGCATTCCATTTCTTTGGGGACACAGAGGTTAGGGTAAAGGCAATACCCTAAAGAAAATATAAAAGCTGGATTATTATGGGTTAGTGGCCTTGGCTCAGAAAAGTCCAATTTCAAGTAGAACACATTTTTCATTTACTTTCCATTTACATTGTTTTGACCTTGTTTTCTCAATCCCCTCAAATTCTATTCATTTAATACTTAATTCAAATAATAGTTACTATTATAAGCAAGATCAGAATTGCATCAAAATATTAATTACATTCATCTATCCTAGAAACAATGAATTAATGAAATTGATGTTTAAGTTCTAAAAATTGTAAGCTGCCATGAGTTTTCCTCATCCAAAATAGCCTCCCTCTTGGAATTTATCATAGCAAGTCTTCAGGGAAGGTAAAACATGTGAATTCAGTTCAATCCTAGATAAATCCCTCTTTTGCTCTAAACACATATAACTACTCTCTTCTAGAAAATAATTTAGAAATTTACATTGCTTCCTTAATTAATATATTAAGGACTAAAGTTACTGTCTTAAGTTCATCATCCTTTTGCACTAAGATTGCAAAAATACCTTTGCTTGCTCTTGAAATATATGTTATTATTTCTATTATAAAGAAAAACACTGATTAGGGAATAAAGTTTTCTCTCCACCCACAACTGGCAGCTTAAATGGTTCCTGTGGCTCATTTATAGAGATATTGACATTAAAATCATGCTATTGTGGCTCAAAACATTAATTTCAAAATCTCACCAAGAATTGGTGACCCTCTCCACCCAGACTTAAGGCCCAAGCTCTTCAGAGAATTTTAAGAAAGATCTCACAAGGGCAATATACAGTGGAATGATTACTTCCTTAGCTTTGCACCTAGTCATATTGTTTATAAATCCCATCATTTAACTTGATTTCCCTGTAGCTGTAGAATACAGAACCTCCATTCTGAGTATTACACACTAAAACTAAAGTCAAGTTTCAAAACCACCACCCACTTCTATACTCCCATTTTATTTAAAATGTACCATTTTTCTTTCCAAAATTTTATATTCTTCAAGAATGAGTTAGACTCATGAATTCTCTTCCTCTTCCAAATACACACAAAAGCTAATGAAGTCTACCTACTGCCCTGCCTGTCTTGGAGAGATGCCTGAAGGAAGTCATGAGCTCATTTTATATCAATGTTGAAACTGTTCCAGAAGTGAGCTTAATGGAGTTCACTCATCCTTTGAGATTACTGTATGAGGAACTATAAAATCCCTTACATAAGAAAATACCAGAAATTAATTAAGGATAGAAATAGTTCTTCATAATACTTTACACTATATACAAACATATTATTTGTACTATTCAATACCCACATGCTAAGAGTACCCATCTTCACTCAGCCTAGGTCAGTAAATAATTAGGCAAAAGAAGTTCATCATCATTAATTACTGCAAGCATTTACAAAATTTTTATTTGTGCTTAATAGTATACAAGAGTTTACACAAAAATAGTGTTAACTACAATGAAACTGAAACTTTAAACTAACATTGTGGATTTCACAATTAAAGCTATGATCATTCGTGTAAAATAATTACTTTAATTAATTTGGCTAGTAATGACTTAGTCCAAAGGACAGACGAGAGCTTTGGAACAGTTTTGGGTGAAATGAAATTTATGAAATAATCACATAAAAATGATGCTGCAGTGAGTTTCACTTGCACCTTAGATGTACAAAGCCTGAAAGAGTGTCACTCCTACCCTAAAAAATGAGACAAAGTCAGATAAACTATCATATTACAATATTTTCTGAGCGCATCAGAGAGCTGAGATCACAGGGCAAACAAGTAACCTGACATCCCAGGAAGGGCAGATGCCTCCAAAACATAGTACACGTGTATTGTCTAATAGCACAGCATGAGAGGAAGACACAGCTGCCACATAAATCAAGTAAGAAAAAAAATCTGCTAAAATTTTAACAAAGTGACACTAATCTAGTTTCTGTCTCTATAGACTTGGCTATTCTGGCCATTTCATATAAATGAATAAAAAAGTATGTGGTCTTTGTGTTCAGCATCTTTGACTTCATGTTTTGAAGATTCATCTGAACACTCAGAAAACCGTTTTTATTAACAAAAATATTACATTGTATGAATATACTATACTTTGTTCAGTTGATGGACATCTGACTTAGTCACTGAAAACTATGTAAAACATAACTGAAAGAAATTAAAAATCTAAACAAATGGAAGACATTCTAATTTCATGAATCAGAAGACTTAAGTATTATAAAAATGGCAATACTGCCGAATTCACTCTATAGAGTTAATGCAATCCCTATCGAAATCCCAGCTGCCTTTTTTGTAGAAATTGACATGCTGATCCTAAAATTCATTTATAAATGCAAGGGATCCAAAATAGACAGAACAACTTAAAAACAGGTAAAAAAGTTGGAGGAATGACACTTACTGATTTCAAAACTTACACAAAGTTGGAGTAAGCAAGGCACTGTTATACTGACACAAGGGCAGACACAGAAATAAATGGACTAGAACTGAGAATCCAGAAATAAAATCTTATGCTCACTATGGTCAGCTGATTTTCAACAAGAGTGACAAGACAATTCAATGGAGAAAGAATAGTCTTTTTAACGAATGGTGCTAGGACAACTGGAGAACTATTTGCAGTAGAGTAAAGTTGGACTCCTGACACCATACACAAAAATTAACACAGAATGGATGAAACCTAAATTTAAGAGCTAAAACTCTTAGATGAAAACATGAGAATAAATCTTTATGACTTTGGATTAGACAGTGATTTATTAGATACAACACTGAAAACACAAGTGATAAAAGGGTAAACAGGAAAATAGGACTTTATCTTTACTTAAAAGTTTTGTGTTCAAACAGGACCACCAAGAAAGTGAAAAAACAGCCTACCAAATGGGAGAATATATCTGTAAATTGTCTTATAAGGGAATTGTATCTAGCATAAGAACTCTTACAACTCAAAATAAAAAGATAAACAACCAATTAAAAACTGGACAAGGACCCAAATGGTTATCTGTTTATAGGTATACAGATATACATGTATAAATCTTTATATATGATACGAAGAGATGAGTCAGATATTCTGACTTCAGTTTTTCCCAGCAGTATGAATTACGCTGAGCATAAAACAATTCTGCCTTTAAGTAAGGAACTGAAGAGAGAGAAAGGCTGAAGTCATATATCAGAATTTAGAAGCATCTTGTATTAATTACTATGGACTCAGTTTAAATCCCTTCCTCTCACTGACAACTTACAGTATCTTATTAAATTGCTAGTTATATCCTAAAATGAAAAGTCTAAATTTCAAATTTTTATATTATACTAGCAGTTAGGACAAAAAGATTAAAAGAAAATAGGAAGATGAATTCATACTGAAATAGAGAACCCAATAAATACAGTTGACCCTTGAACAACACTGGTTTGAACAGGTCCACTTATATACAGAATTTTTTTTCAAAAAATACATTGGAAATTTTTTTGGAGATTTGTGACAATTTGAAAAAACATCGTCTTTTCTCTAGCTTACTTTATTGTAAGAATATAGTATGTTCATCAACTGTTTATGTTATTGATAAGGCTTCTGTGATCAAGAGTAGGCTATTAGTTAAGTTTCTGGGGAGTCAAAAGTTATACATGGGTTTTCAACTGTTCAGGGGCCATCAATTCTAACTCCCCCAACATTGTTCAAGAGTTAACTGTAGCATTAGGGAAAAGCTAACCCTGTTAAAAATCTGAAATAATGGCAGAACAAGAATACTTAATTTTACCCAAGAATACATATAAAAGAATTATTGTAACATAAATCCCCACCCAAAAAAAAGTGAAACACACACACAAAAAACAACAAATGAAAACTATTTGTAAACCACAAGCTTCAAAAGCTTACAACCCAGGTTAAAAATAGAAATTTTCACTAATTGCCAAGAGTGAATTAAGATTCTGTGTAATACACTAAGCTTAAAATTCCTATTATAATTTTCACTGTTTTGTTAATTTTATTCTCATTTCACATTTAGAAATGACATAACGCATATCCTTCAACATACCTAAATAGAGAAAACTTTTTAGTTACAGAAAGGGAATATTTATATCAGCTTAGCACATTTTATCTCTACCTAAAAATTTTAGTAAAAATTAAATTAAGCCTTTACTAGTTCCAATGAACTACTGCTTCATTCACAACATTTTTATAGAATTAATTTAATTAGGTTTACTATATGGAAACATTTTCTTTCACACAGTATTTATAAAAGATACTCCCAACATAAAAACTATATGTCAGAATGATGTTTAAAAAGAATAAGAAGCCAGTCATACAAATAATGGTCCCATGATTATAATCAGTGACTATTAAAGCTCAGAAGTACAAAAGAAGCAGAATTGTACCTCTGCATTACTCCTATTTGGCCTCTAAGAACACTACCATATTGACATCTAAGACAAGACCTGTTTACTTACTCAACAAGATTTATAATTGTAGAGAAGATTAAATCTGTTAAGACAAGGAGGCCTCTCAAGTATTTAAGGCTGGTAGATAACTATCTCAAAGGAAACCTAGAACATAAAGATTACCTCAGCAACTTTTGGAGGGACTCCATCTCCAAGCACTTCCCTGATGAAGCAGTGCTGGCTCATGTAATATGACAGGCCACAGGTCCTCTTGAAGGCATCTTTCAGTCGTTTCAGCTCTACATCTGTAACTGCAATTCAGAAATAGACACTGGGTAAGAAACCAGTAGAAAAAAAGAATTCTCTCATAATCCTTCCATTTTTTTTAACACAGTTCTTAATAAAAATTGGCAAATATTACTTCTCTTTCTAGGTAAGTAAAACAAGCCCAAAGATATTTTGTCATAATTCTAATATTTTCAAATCTAATATAGAAAATGAATATACAAACTCTTGACCCACTATTTTCAAATAACAAAACATCAAATTACGCTAAAAATTTTAGCCAGGGGCAAAAAGGAGCTCACAAGTACTTCAAATTAGCAGGTAAGCTAAATGGCATTAGATTTTGGCATTTTATATGTTTTCAGCAGCAATGCACTCATTTCCTTTGGGATAAAAAATTAAATTACTTGTACTTGAGCATGTGCCTATCCATACTGAGGATAGCTCCCAAGTTTAGCTTAGATTTTTGTCATCATTTACAAAGAAAGTAATCTTTAAAGAAATGATTCTAACAACCTAAAATTTGTAGGTGTACATTATCAGTTTTATTTATTTATATTGTTATTTTCTTCTGAAAATTACTAAGCCATTACTTTATTTTGGGCATTGAAGAGTTTTCTTTTTCACTGAATAGAACAGTCTCTGTCCACAAGTGCAGAAAAATAAATACTCTTTAATATTATGAAGTCAGTTCAATGATCATGAGGGAGCCACAGAAATGGTACTTTCAGTCTGTGCTGGAGAAAGAGAACACTTTTGGGCAGAAGATGGTGACATAAAATTTTAAGGCTAATCCAAGCAAAAGGGAAAAAAGGATACACCCAGCGAAGACCATAGTTTTTTTCAAAGTACACTGATGTATAGAGCATATGGAGAGCTGTATGCTTACAGAACAAAATATACAAGACAGAGAATAGAAAATGATAACCCTGGAGAGGCAATCACTGACCAAGACAAAGAAATTCTGCACTGCAGAAGGCATAGTTAGATACAGGCAAAAGAGAACAGGAAACATAGTCAGATACAATTCAGGTAATTAATTCCACCAGTAGTATAGAGAAAGGAATAAACCTAGAAGCAAAAAGTAAGCTGCTAGTACAAGAAAAAAGGAGTAGAAAGGGGAAAAAGATGGCAGTGTGAGAAATGAGACAAAAACCTCCCAAAACCAGGTAAAAAATGAAAATACAGCAAATACAATCCTGAAAAAGTGACCTGAAGACTGCAGAACAGACTGTCTACATCTGGGGAAGAAGAGAAGACCACACAGAAAAGGGTAAAGTGGTAAAGCCACAGTCCTGTGGAACCCAAGCCCTCCTCCCACCCCAGCCCACAGGTGGGGGAAGAGGAACAGAGAGGGGAGGGAGTAGAAGCCCAGGACTGCTGAACACCCAGTCCTGGAGATATGCTCCGGGAGCACGTACCCACATCACATGGTGCTCTGGAGATAAGAGGGGTTGGAAAGCGAAGAGGGGTGGAATACTCTGAGGGACTGAGATTACAGCCACTTCTGGAGAACAGGTATGCACAACTGGCCCCCCAGGGACAAAAGAAAGGTGGGCAGTTTGAAGGACTACCCAGCAGTAAGAGGGACACTAAAGGGGCAAAGATCACACAAATTCCATGCTCAGGAGAAAGAGCACATGGACAAAATCTTTCCAGCACACTCAGCCCATCAGATTGGGAACTCTCAGGAGCTTCAGACGCTCCATCCCCATGGTGGGCAACGCAGCCATGAGGATCCCCACTGTGGTACACAGCCTGCTGCACCTTCCTTCCAGCAGGCACCAATCCTCCTCACCTGCAGTCCTGCCATCATGCAACGCCAGCCAGAGGGTGGTCCCACCCACAGTAGCTACAGGGGTGTAGCACAGAGGGTCCTCCATGCACACACAGTCCACTGGACTTGGCAGTGGAGGCAGGTCGTTGCAGCCAGGAAGGAAGGAAACCCTCTCAGCCAAGTTCTTTCCTCCTGGGTAGGCACTGGTTCCGCTCACCTGAGACCCCTGCCATTGATGCAGGTGCAAGGCAGCTCCAGGAAGTATTTTTCCAGCTCACACAATCAGCTGACAGCTTACCCAGCTCACTACAAACAAGGCAAAACAATACACCCACTGCTTGCTGACAGTTGGGGCTGCCAATAAGAAACTGAGTTTCTGGGCAATAGAGGGAGCCACCTACACATAAGAAATGCTAAAAAAAAAAATGAAGTGGCAAAGGATCAAACAAAATTGCAAGAAAAAATGCCAGAAAGAAGGCTTATGATTCAGTGATTACTGAAATCACCAATCTTCTTTTAAAATAAAAGTCATAAATATGCTCACAGAGATACAGAAAAATATTCAAGGTCTCAGGGAGGACTTCAACAAAGATATATAAATTTTGAAAAATACAGTACCTGAAATGAAACATAGAATGGAGGGATTTAAAAGTAGATGAAGTAGAGGAGATGGTAAATGAAATAGAAACCAGAGAACAAGAAAACAAAGAAGCTGAGGCACAAAGAAAAAAAAGGATCTCTAGGAATAAAGAATAAAAAACCTGTGTGACCAATCCAAACAGAACAATATTCACATTATGGGGGTTCCAGAAGAAGAAGAGAGAGACAAAGGGAGAGAAAGTCTCTTTGAGGATGTAACTGCTGAAAACTTCCCCAGTCTGGGAAAGGAAATAGTCTCTCAGGTCATGGAAGTGCAGAGATCTCCCAACAGAAGAAACTTAGGAAGATAACATCAAGACATATAATAATTAAAATGGCAAAAATCAAGGACAAGAGAAAACAGCTGGAGAGACAAAAGAGATCACTTTAAAGGAAACCCAATCCAGCTATAAGCAGACTGCTCAGAAGAAACCTTACAGGCCAGAGGGAGTGGCATGAAACAAGAGTCTCCAAACTCTACCCAGCAAGATTATTATTTAAATTTGAAACAGGGATTAAACAATTTCCAGATGAGCAAAAGTTGAGGGAATTCACCAACAAACCATCACCACAGTGTACCTTAAAGGGACTGCTGTAGGTGAAAGTGCTCCTACAGCTAAATAGCTGTCACCAGAAAAAATAAAACCACAGAAAAGGAAGTAGACCAATTAATTACTAAGCAAATACAAAATTAAATCAACTACTCACGAAGTTAGTCAAGGGATATACAAAGACTACACAATATGACACTTAGTATATAAAAAGTGGAGGAAGAAGTGGAAAAAGATCTTTAGATTGTGTTTGAAGTTGTGTAATAAGTGACTTAAGACAGACTGTTAGATACTAAGGAAGTTGCCCTTGAAATCTTCGGTAACCATAAATCTAACGACTACAATGGCAATACAAACACATCAATAGGTACAAACCCTAAATGTAAATGGTCTGAATACACCAATCAGAAGACAAAGAGTTACAGAATGGATAAAAAAGCAGGACCCATCTATAAGATGACTACAAGAGACTTACTTCAAACCCAAAGACATACACAGACTAAAAGGGAAGGGATGGAAAAGATATTTCATGCAACTAATAGGGAGAAAAAAGCAGGAGTTGCAGTACTTATATCAGACAAAATAGATCTCAAAACAAAGAAAGTAATGAGAGACAAAGAAGGACATTACATAATGATAAAGGGGTCAATCCAACAAACGGATAACCTTTATAAATAGCTACACACCCAATATTAGAGCACCTCAATATGTGAAACAAAAACTAACAGAATTGCAGGGGGTAAATAGAATGCAATGCATTCATTTTGGGAGACTTCAACACACCACTCACTCCAAAACACAGATCAACCAGACAGAAAGTAAGTAAGGAGACAGAGGCACTGAACAGTGCATTAGAACAGACGGACCTAACAGACATCTATAGAACACTCCACCCAAAAGCAGCAGGATAAACATTATTCTCAAGTGTACACAGAATGTTTTCCAGATTAGATCACATACTGTAACGCAAAAAGAGCTTCAGTTAACACAAAAAGATTGAAATTGTGCCAACCAGCCTCTAAGACCAAAAAGGTATGAAACTAAATTATGCAAAGAAAACAAAAAAGCCCAAAAACACACGGAGGCTTAACAACAGGCTCTTAAATAACCAATGGATCAACGACCAAATTAAAACAGATCAAGCAATATATGGAGACAAATGAAAACAATTCAACAGCCCAAAACCTGTTGGATACAGCGAAGGCAATTCTAAGAGGAAAGTATATACCAATACAGGCTTAACTCAAGTAAGAAGAACAATCCCAAATGAACAGTCTAAACTCACAATTAATGAAACTAGAAAAAGAAGAAGAAATGAGGCCCAAAGTCAGTAGAAGGAGGAACATAAAAATATCAGAGCAGAAATAAACAAAATTGACAAGAATAGTAGAAAGAATCAATGAAACTATGAACTGGTTCATTCAGAAAATAAGCAAAACAGGTAAACCCCTAACCAGACTTATCAAGAAAAAAAGAGAGTATTCACTCATAAACAGAATCATAACTGAAAAAGGAAAAATCACTACAGACACAATGGAAATACAAAAAACTATTAGAGAATACTATGAAAAATTATATGCCAACAACCTGGATAACCTAGAAGAAATGGACAATTTCCTAGAAAAATACAATCTTCCAAGACTGACCCAGGAAAACACAGAAAATCTGAACAGACCAATTACTAGCAAAGAAATTGACTCAAACTGGTAATCAAAACACTACCTAAGAACAATATACCTGGTACAGAGGGCTTCACAGCTGAGTTTTATCAAACATTTAAAAAAGACCTAATACTCATCCTCCTTAAAGTTTTCAAAAAAGTAGAAGTGAAGCAAGTACTTCCAAACTCATTTTATGAGGCCAGCATCACTCAAATACCAAAACCAGGCAAAGACACCACAAAAAAAGAAAATTATGGACCAATATCCCTCATGGACATAGATACACAAATTCTCAACAAAATATTACCAAACCATATTCAAAAATACCTCAAAAAGATCATCCATCATAAACAAGTGGGATTTATTCCAGGGATGCAAATATGGTACAATATTAGAAA